ATCAAATAGGCAGGCTTTGTCTAGTAATTGAGTCATCCTGAGTCTGGTATGGGCGTTGTACGATGTGGACATGGATGTGGTGTCTAGGTTCGAGTCCAGGGACATGTTTAGATCCCCTCCCATTATCAGGATACCTTCCATGTGTTTTTCAATTTTGGTAATGTATTTCGACAGGTGCGTGCCTTGTTTGGCGTTAGGTAGATACATGTTGGCAAATGTCACCACAGTGTTGCCTATCTTCCCTTTCACTATGAGGAGCCTTCCGTTGGGGTCCTCATGGTAGCTTATGTGAGTGTAGGGTACATGTGAGCCTATAAGGATGGCTACCCCTCTAGTCTTGGCCTCTTTATAGCACCCATAGTATCCTGTGGGGTAGTGACGGTTACGAATTGTGATGGTTGAGCCCATTTTAAGGTGAGTCTCTTGGAGGAAAGCTACGTCTGCCTTTAGGCTGCGTAGCTCTCGGAGGGTCAGCGCTCTTTTCATGGGAGAATTGAGGCCCCTGACGTTGAGGGTGACTATTGTAAGGTTGGCCATGTTGGCTGCAGGGGGGGGTGTCATGTTGTGGTGGTCTTGAGTGGGTATGTAGCAGTCAGAACGAGGTAAAAACAGTAACAATATAACAGTAAAAGAAACTATATACAGAGCAGCTCTGATACTTGCAGAGCTGGAAGTTGGGGTATTTTGAAATGTGGAGTCAGTCAGCCTTGGTTGACGGTGGCTTTCCCTTTGGTGGCTATTAAGTCCAGGGGAAGTTGAGTCGGCACCGCTAAGGCTTTAGGTGACTCTCCACTTAATTGTGGGGTAACCGAATTAGTTCAGTGTGGGGGGGATTCGGTGGTGTATCGGTGCGTCTTTCCATAGGGAGAGACGGGCAATCCATGGTATGCTATATGGTAATTTGGATTGGTAAATCGGGCTAGGAGGTATGTATAGTTTATGGGACCATTCGGTGCGTATCGGACGCATTGGGCGTGGGCGCTGGGGTGCTCAATGGCCAGGGTCGGAGTGGCTCATCAGGGCCGGTCCGGTACCTGAGTCATAGTTAGTGCGCGAGTGCCATCTTCCAACTCTGCAAAGGCTTAGGATTTCCAGCACAGTAGTGTGGTTAGGGTATCAGCACATAAGACATTTGGAACATACTCATAAAACAGTCATCATAGTTCCTTCAGACATCATGCAGTTCGGTATGCTGTTCGGTTCGACTCCACCCAGGAGCACGCGAGAAGTCCGTCATGCTTCGGGAAGGGCCGAAGCACAGCCTGTTATTATGGTTAGGGTAGCAGCATAAAGAACATTTGGAACATACTCATAAAACAGTCATCATAGTTCCTTCAGACATCATGCAGTTCGGTATGCTGTTCGGTTCGACTCCACCCAGAAGCACGCGAGAAGTCTGTCATGCTTCGGGAAGGGTCGAAGCACAGCCTGTTATTATGGTTAGGGTAGCAGCACAAAGAACATTTGGAACATACTCATAAAACAGTCATCATAGTTCCTTCAGACATCATGCAGTTCGGTATGCTGTTCGGTTCGACTCCACCCAGAAGCACGCGAGAAGTCCGTCATGCCTCGGGAAGGGTCGAAGCACAGCCTGTTATTATGGTTAGGGTAGCAGCACAAAGAGCATTTGGAACATACTCATAAAACAGTCATCATAGTTCCTCCAGACATAATGCAATTCATTTTAACTCTACCCAGAAACATACCAGAAGCCTGTCAAGCCTCGGGAGGGATTGAAGGTTGGGGGGAGGGGATAGAGAGGGCTGGGAGGGGAAGGGGTGTCTGAAGGTGAGGAGGGTGAAGGAGGGGTAGGGGGTTAGGGGAGGCGAGATGTACTCAAACATTGTAAACCAGCTGGGGAGTAAGATTGATACCCGTCCGTAGGTCTTCTACTGGACTTCCCACCGGCAAGTCATTGCCGTTCAGGATGCAGAGTACCTAGAGTTTGTGGGATCGTGTGTAGGAGTTCGTACCGCGGCTGAGGTTAAGTCCTGGATTCATAGTAGAGGCAGTACGATGAAAAAGTGGAGTTCGGTGGGATCACTGATTCTGTTACGGAGTTGGGGAGCTGGTTCGTCTGTTGCATCGTTGGGAATGTCAAGATGGTTCTCTTGCAGAGAGTGTGTGAGGGAATCTTGGCTTCCGGGGTAGGGTGAGTTATTATAGTGGCCCATGGTTGTGGGAGTCCAGGGAGGTGTGTGAGGTTTGTTTGTGCTTGTAATCCGAATTGGGCCAGGTTAGATCCGGCAATGAGGTCCGTTTCTTGTCGTCTGTGTTCTCAGGTTGGGTTCTGAAGGGGTAGGTGGCGTCCGATAGCGATGGTATGGGGCGTCCTTTATTGGGCGGGGGGTCCTGTTCTCGGTCTGTGTCCCCCTTGGTGAATGGTTTGGTCGTTGTAGCGCCTCTTCGCTGGGGTTTGTCCTCTCTGTCGTGGGGCACTATGTTGCGGAGGCTGGTGTAATGGTCCATACCAGTTAGGGATATGGACTTCTGGCAGGTCAAGGGCTGAGGTAAATGTTTGTGTGTCTTCGGCTGTTGAGAGGGTGGCAGTGACCCCGTTGTGAGTTGCTGTAATGGCGAGGGGGAATCCCCACCTGTAGCGGATATTCCTGGATCTTAGGAGGTCAGTGAGTGGCTTCATGGTCCGTCTTGCTTGGAGAGTCATCCAGGAGAGGTCTGGGTATATCTGTACTGGTCGCCCATGGTACAGCAGTGGTTGGGAGGTCCGGCGGAGGCTCCTTAAGATGTCTTCTTTGATGCTGTAATAGTGCAGTCTGCATATCACATCTCTGGGGGAGTCCCCCCCAGGGCCCCTGGGTTTGAGTGCTCTGTGCGCTCTGTCTAGCAGGATGGGCATTGTTGTGTCTCGTTGGAGGATTAGGTTAAAGAGCTCTTGCAGTGTGGATTGGAGGTCTTCCCCCTCAGCCTCAGGTAGGCCTTTAACCCTTAGGTTGTTACGGCGCCCTCTATTGTCCAGGTCGTCTAGTGCTCTGTACATAGCAGCCATTTGTGTGTTATGAGCTGTCACTGTACTTTGCAGGGCTTGTAGTTGTGTGCACGTGCAGTCATGTTCGTTTTCTAGGGAGTTAACCTTGTCACTGACCTGTTTTACTTCTGTGGAGATGTCATCCATCTTCTTTTGAAAGGACACTTCAAGTTTCTGTAGCATAGCAGCCAGGTCCTGCTTGGATGGGAGATTCCTGAGTAGGGCTTTCAGATCTTTGTCCCGATCAATGTCCGACGTGAGAGAGATGCTGTCTGATGCCGCCGGGCTGGAGGGCCCTGAGGAGTGCTCCGCCGGGTCGTCCGGCGCCATATTGGAGCCTGCGGCCTCATTTCGCCGGTCGCCCTGATCCTTGAAAAATTTGGTAAGGTTGCTGGTTTTCGCCGCGGAGTGTTTGCCCGCCGTGTTAGGAGCAGTGGAGAGGCGTTTGGGGTGTCCCATGTTGTGGTAGGTGCCCGATGGATGCGGATTGCCCTGAGTCTCTTTCGGAGCTCTGCTAGCAAGCGTCCATTCGCGCTCGCGGTTAGCTCCGCCCCCCCTTTTCTTCTGTTTTTGTATTAATTACATTTTGTATATTATTTAGTTTTAGTTTTCTTTCATGTGATGGTTGTAATTTATTCAATTTAGAGAGATTGTAGTAAGCTATATGTAAATCTGTTAGGGTTTTCCCTGTTCTTTCCCTTTGTATATGGTCCATTTTAATTATATAATCGCCTTATGAGCCCACCAATTTATAGTGTGTGAAGTCTCAATAGGGTTATTATCCTCATAAAACAATTTGAAAAGATTAGATATCTCATTTTTGTTTATGTCGGTTTTTATTAACCTATCCTTTAATCTCCAAGAGTTCATTGGGTATCTGTGGGATTTCCCTATGTCAATCAATATAAAACTATGATCGGACCAGAATTTTTTTTTTTATTACAATTTTTTTTAATAATCAGAATCTAGATATATGGGTATAATCCCTTTCCATAAGATTTATGGCATCGTATAGATCATACCTTTTACAGAGGGACGTCAATTTCTTAAATTGTTTTTTAGTTCTGTTATCACTCTTTGGATTGCGTTGTGATATTTTATCCAACTTGGGGTCCATTACATAGTTAAAATCCCCGGCTATAATCAATGTGCCTTTCATTATGTTCTGTACCCTAATCATTATCTTGGCTAACGTTGAGATCGGGTCCACGTTTAGTAAATATATATTTACCAAGGTGTAAGGATTCTTATCTATTTCACACACCAAAATTAGATATCTAGCCGTTTCATCAGATTCCTGATATTTAATGACAACATCAATCTCTCTAGAGAACACTATTGCAATACATCTTTTCTCTTTATTTAAAGATGCATATTTAATTAGAGGGAATCTATCTCCTCCCCATTTCTGAGGCATGTTTTGTAACCAATGTGTTTCTTGTAAAAACCTATTTGAATATTTTCTTGTGTTAATGAATGATATAACCTCTTTCTTTTTTCTACAGTGTTCAACCCCTGAACATTTACCAGGTGTTGGTCCATTCCACTGTCCTTTCTCACCTTGACTAGTGTAATCCGCTTCTCAGTGGTCTTACTTGCTCCCAACTTGCGCCGTTACAGTCCATAATGAACGCCGCTGCGAGGCTTATTTTCCTGTCCTCCCGCACCTCCCATGCCTCACCCTTCTGTCAGTCCCTACATTGGCTTCCTATAAAATATAGAGCTCAATTTATAATTCTGGTTCTTGCTTTCAAATCTCTACATAATGCTGCTCCCACCTATCTATCCTCCCTTATACACAAGTATGTCCCATCTAGGCCCTTACGATCTGCTGAAGACTTACGTCTATCTTCTGTCCGTACTCCCACTTCTGATGCTCGCCTTCAAGATTTCTCGAGGGCTGCACCGTTCCTCTGGAACTCGCTTCCCTCCTCTGTTACTTGATCACCCAGTCTCCACTTCTTCAAAAAACCGTTAAAGACTCACTTCTTCATAAAAGCGTATCAATTAAACTGTTAATAGCTCCTGACTGATTCCTCTTCTGCAACTGTCACTAGTCTAATACTATCCTTACCTTTTTGTGTCATTTTACCCCACTCCCTCTAGCATGTAAGCTCATTGAGCAGGGCCCTCAACCCCTCTGTTCCTGTGTGTCCAACTTTTCTGGTTACAACTACATGTCTGTTCGTCCACCCATTGTAAAGCGCTGCGGAATTTGACGGCACTCTATAAATATCATAATAATAATAATAATAATTTACCGACATTATCCTGAGCATTTGAGCAAACCAGTATTCACCAATCCATCCGCCCTTTCTTTAAGTACATTTACACTAAAAACATTAAAAACATTCATATCCGAAATAGTCTACAGTCCTGAACCATACATAACCTTTTTGGGACATAATTCCTTTTTTTATCTTTGTAACTACTTTAGCTACAGAGAAAACTGTAGTATTACTACAGAAAGTGGGGCGTACCTTAAATGGAGTGAAGAAATTTAGGTACATCTATTTTGGAATATCTTTCTCCATACCTCATTAGCCACATAATAAATTGTTGCCTGAATCGCTTTAGGTCTTTATTATAAGTGGTTCTATCCCTAATTAATTTAATCGCTTCATCGTCTATATTTGCATCTATAGTAGGGAAATCCTTTTCTTATATAACCATTAATATTTTGTTTTACAGTCATGTTTTAACTCTTAGTTCATTGACAAATTGATATTTAAAGATCCTTTCTTATTCCCTTAAATTTAAGTGATTTTATACAACAACCTTTAAAATGCAATTCAACATTGTCTGCTATTTGTAAATTCTCTTTTGTCTAAGAGAATCTACCCTTTAGATTGGACCATTTTAAAAATACCCTTCTGTATCAATATATTATTGCAAATGTGTAATCAAAAGTGAGAAGGAAACACACACAAAAAAAGTTATTTTCTTGTCATTAGAACCATTAATATTGTTATTCACAATCTTATCTTAATTTTAAGTAGCATTGAGTAGCAAATTGTTTTTTGTGGCAAACATAGCCACTTGGACAATATCCAGAGACTGTACTTTTAAGGGTTGCCTGTATGTCGGTGGGGATATGTGTTTAACTGCGTATAATGTATGCTGGCTGTAATGACGTGTAATTACTGTATTGGCTATCTGCCGAATGCAGATAGCTGTGTGGGCTGTATTTTCTTTCGTTTCACGAACGGCACTTTTGTGGGCCATTCATGAACCGAAAATACCCCCATGTAGCAGCCCACACACTTAGAGGCGTGCGGCGCTTGTTAACCGATTGCAACAATGTTGCAATCGGTAATTAGAGGCTCTCCTAGGTGGCCGCCATTCGACTACTGACCATGCGGCAGTCAGCCATCTTGGATCCTTTGTTCCCTCAGCGGTGTTTGGTCGTCGAGCGCATGGTACTAAAAATGGCTACTCGACGGCGCGAACACCGCTGAGCTTCCAGGCCGTTCGGGAGTTCCGGGCCGTTCGGTATTTTGTTCCCTAGAATGCAATCGGTATTTTGAACAGGTATTTCAATGAATGTGTTTTTCGTGTGACGTTCGGTTGTTTTAGCTGGGATCTGAGCGGTTCTCTCACGAATGATGCGCTCAGACCCCAACTATATACCGAACATCCATTCGTTTAAATAGACTGCCTATTCGAAAAGTTATGGATTTTAATATAAATTGTTGGTTCTGCTGCACGGAGGGATAATTCACTTAACGGTACATTCCTGTGAGAGGATCCCTCTCATGCAGTAGTGCCTGATGGGAGAAATGTCTTGTACAGTAAGTTCCCCATGTAGTCCACTCTGGGAATACCCCTGGGAGGGGACTCAGGAAACCCCTTGCATGGGGACTTGTATAAATTGTGGAGCTGAAAATAAAGACCTCAGTTGACTTTCAGAACTGTTTCGTCCAGTTACTGGGAGATTTGGGATATTGCCTTGCTTTTTCCAGCACTTGACTGTGGATTACTTCCTGAACCAGCGGAGATCGTGGATTTAATATTGGCGTTCCGCTACAGTTTTATCTATCCTTACTTCAGGTGAAGTTTTAAGTGCAATTCAACATCAATCATAGTGCATTTACCTTATCTATTGTTTATAAATTATATTTTGTTCCAAAAAATCTGCCCCTTAGATTTAACCATTATAAAAATACCCTTCTGTGTCACATATACTTATTTCAAATTTGTGGTCAATAGTGCAAGGCAGAAAAAAAGAACACCCATTTGCTATCATTATAGCCCATAGTGTTATAATGCACAATCATATTTTAACTCTAAGCTCCATAGTAAATTTATAATTTAACTGAGCCTTTTTTGTTCTGGTATTTAAAGTGCTATTAAACTACAACCCCAGTGCAATCCAACCTTGTCTATCATTTTCCAATTTAAACTCAACCGTATTAAAACTACCCTCAGAACATTCTTATTTCAAATTTTGTGGTCAATAGAGAAAAAAAAATGTCCTTAGTAAATACATAGATTTTGCTTAAACCAATTTCTTAAGTGTTAGCCAATTTGTTAATTTCTCATGTGTCTCAAAGTCTTCAGAACAGCTGTCATAAGTAAGGATTAATTTCAATGGAAAAGACCACTTATATCTTATCTCATGCCTTCTTAAGATCTGAATTGCTGGATTGAAGGCTCTTCTTTTCATATAGGTATTGTATGATACGTCTGGCATGATTATTACATTTAGCTTTCTGTCTAAACGCCTTCAGTACTTTTTCTTTAAAGTCAAAGGAATAGAAACGAGCGATCACGTCTCTAGGAAAGGATTTTCCAATATTTTGGGGTTTAAAGACTCAATGACATCTTTCTATTATATCCTCATGCTCTTTGAGTGTTAGTCCCAATTCAACAAACAATTCTTTTAATATTCCTTTTAGATCTTGCTGATCGTTTAACTCATCTAAATTTCTGAAACAGATGTTTTTTTCTTCACGATCGATCTTCCAAGTCATCTATCTTTGATTCCAGGAATGCAACTTGTTCTTCAATTTTATTGTTGACTTCTTTTTATTTATTGATCTGAAAGTCCATTTCAACCAATTTATCTTCAAAATTCTGAACTTTTATAATTAATTGGTTAATTTCCTTGTGACGAAGTGCTCTTCGCCACTTGTGCCTGGAGGGGACTACTGGCTAGCCTCCTGCCTTCCGACTATGGCCCATGTGCTGATAGCTGTATTTTCCCCTGCTGAAAGGTTTATTTGTGTATTTTTGCAGGGGCATTCTGGACTTTCAGTATCTGAGTAGTGCTACCCCAGATAGCTATGCCATGGAGCCAATTCGTGTAACGAAAGACTATGGAAAAGACTTTGGCTCCATGGCGATTGAATTGTATGTGTGTGATCTGAGCGCCATTCAATAATAATGTGCACTCAGATCCAGTGGTATATCCTGGTTTCGTGCTGCCCTAGGCAGGACAAAACTCAGGCGCCTCTCAACCCCCCGGGCGCATGACCCCCACCAATCCCTTCCCCCTGCCCCGCCTTCTAAATACACACACACACTCACTGACAGATAAGCATACATTAGCTAACAGAAACACAAACTCACTGACACACACAGACACACACTCACTCACTAGCAGACACACACTAGCAGACACACACACACTCACTGACACACACACACACACTCACAGGCAAACATACACACACAGTCAGACACACACACACACACACACAAACACACTCACTCACTAGCAGACACACACACTCACTAGCAGACACACACTAGCAGAAACACACTAGCAGACACACACTAGCAGACACACAGACTCACTGACACACACACTCACACTAACAGGCAAACACACTCACAATAACAGTCAGACACACACACACTCACTAACAGACACACACTCACTAACAGACACACACACTCACACACTAACAGACACACACACACACACACTAACAGACACACACACTCACTCACATTAACACATGTATTTTTTTTTAACCCCCCCCCCCCTCCAGCCTCCTTACCTTTGGGAATCCTGGGGGGGGTTCTCTATCTCCCTGGGGGTCCAGTGGCTGATGGGCTGGCGGGCTGGTGGGCGGCGAGGGAGCTCTTCCTCTGAGCGGTCTGCTCAGCTCCCTTGCGCACCTCAGAGTGAGGCTGGGAGCCGGAATATGACGTCATCAACCCGGCTCCCAGCCTCACTGTGCGGCTCGCGAGGGAGCTGAGCAGACCGCTCAGAGGAAGAGCTCCCTCGTCAGCTGCCTTCCAGCCCGTGTGTGTCTGTTAGTGTGTGTGTGTGTGTCTGTTAGTGTGTGAGTGTGTGTGTCTGTTAGTGAGTGTGTTTTTTTTTGTAAGTGAGTTTTTTTGCCGCCCCCTGAAAAATGCCACCCAAGGCAAATGCCTTGTTTGCCTCGTGGCTAAAACGCCCCTGCTCAGATCTAAGCTATCTGGGGATATGTTGCATGTATATGTTTTATGTAGTAATTGTAACATTGTGTAATTGTATGTCTTTTTGTAACCATGTGGTTAATGGAGTCTTGCCTCTGTCCTGGGAGATAATTTGATTACTTCGCAATTATCTCCAGGATAGAGAGGAGGGATTGTGATGTCACTGTGGGAGTGTTTTGTTTGTATTGTCTGTGATTGGCTGATATCCAATATGTGTCCCATTGTTCCATCAGGTCCCCTAGGGGAGTGTCCACCTGGTGGACACTTGTATAAATACCGGGCAGGTAGCCCTCAATAAACCAGACCTACTTGAACCTTTCTTGAAGCCTTGGCTCATGCTTGGGGGATGGGTTAACTACACTCTGGGGATTGCTATAATCACTTACTCCCCAGAGTCAGCTCTTGCAAGAGCTTGTTTTGTTCTTGTTCCTGCTCTCTGGATTTAGGAGAGGTTCACCTACTGGAAGCTGGATCCTGGCCTTGGATCCAGGGTGGGTGAGAGACGGCGAGACCCCGGTGCAGCTGCATCGCTGGAAGTGGGGTCTGCAGTGCTGATGGTGTCGGTTGGAGTGCTCGGAGTCCTCTGCAAGCGCTAGGAGCATCGATTGGCGGAGGTACTCAGTCGGAGTGCCAGCGTTCCGTCACATTCCTGTTTAATCTCTTGTTTAATTTCTTGTGTGTTAGTAGCTATTTCCTTTTTTATTTCTAACAAATTGTTTTGTAAGCTCACATTGAGTTGCTCAATTATACGCGATTCACTCGCTCTTTTATTTTCTAGTTCCAAGTTATCTGAGCCGGTATTAGATATATCCATATTTTGTCGGATGT